GTTTTTTAATATTATTTTGCTTACTTAAAGTTAATTAAAAAATTAATCTTAAATAATCTTTCAAAAAATGAAAGAAAAAACATCATTTATAGAGCGAATTATCTTTTAAACTTCTGTGATTTCAGAATTTTTTATTTTATCAATTTAAAATTCCAGTTGAAGCAAGCCAGTCATTGGCAAATTGTTTTTATTCTGAAATGAGAACAGAAAAATCAGAAGTATTTATTTCATTTCGACTAAACAATAAAGGTATCTATAGAATATAATTCTGCAGAAAAAAAGAAAAAAATTATTTGCATTTCTGTATTTTTCAGCTATTTTATTGCTTTAACTCTTTCATTACTGTTTTTTTAAATTTAAAATCTATAATTATGAAGATGCAAAGTATAAAAGTTTGGGTTTTATCTATCATTTCAATTAATGTTATTATAATGCTTTTTTTAATTTATTGATTTTTTTTTCGGAGAAAATAGTAATTTTCTTAAGTCATGAAAAATTCTTGGAATTTGTCATGGAAAGCCATGAATTGAAAATCTAAAATGTCGCAAATACCCTGTGTAAACAGAAAATTTTTGTAAGTGTTTTAAATTAAAATAATCTATAAATATGAAGATGCAAAGTATAGTAGTTTTGGTTTTATCTATCATTTCAAGTAATGTTATTATAAGGTTTTTTTAAATTTATTGTTTGTTTTTTTTCGGAGAAAATAGTAATTTCCTTAAGTCATGAAAAATTCTTGGAATTTGTCACGGAAAGCCATGAATTGAAAATCTAAAATGTCGCAATACCCTGTGTAAATAAAAAATTTTTGTAAGTGTTTTAAATTAAAATTATATTGTCTGTTTCTATTCCTTCTTTTAAAACAGGTTTACTGGATGTGAATATTATGACTTCTATTTTTTTTTTTTAATTCAGTTTACTCTACTGTTTATTATGAATAATCTTAAATAGATGAATTATTGTATATCCTGTGATTAAAGTCAACCCAATTTTTGATTACAACATATTAAATTTCTGGTATGTCAGGTGTATAAGTCAACCACTATGTAAACCAAATAGGAAAATTTCTAAAATTAGAATATAAATAAATAAAATTGCTAAATCTCTCTGAATATGATACGTTTACCCTTAAGTAAAGATGATGTTTGAGACCATCTCCAAAATATAAATTCAAATGTTATTGTGAAGTCTTTTTAAAAGTGTGGAAATACAAATTTTTTGGATGAGGATTAAAATTATTTTCTGTAAGACTCAGCAGATGAAGTTTTAAATGTGAGATCCGTATAAAGACACTGTTAATTGTACTGAATCTTATTTTACTCTTTTATTGGCCAATATATGACTTTTGATTCAAAATTTTGTACCAAAACATTAAAAAATAAATAAAAAATCTTGCCAAAATAAGTTTTTTTTTCAAGATATGTTAAAAAAAAATAGCATTTTGAATAAAATATTTTATAATATAGACACTTTTCTTGTACACATCCTATATTTTATAAGAAAGAAACAAAAACCTGGAAATTTTATGATTTTTATCTGGATAACCTGGAAAAATCAGGGAAATTTGAAGTCTAATTTGAGTGGCCACCCTGTTATTATTTAAAATCCACTCGCAAATTTGTTCTCATAAGTTTTAATTATCCTTTTACAGGTTGTCTCTAATGTACCCGAGTTCCCTTTTTTTTCTTCTTTTTCTTCGCTCTGAACTTAGTTAATAGCAAACTTTTATCAGTTTATCTGAAGCAGATAATATTGTTTACATTTGATGCAGTATGGCCAATTTTTGAAGCTCTACTCTTAACTCAACTTTTTTTTAAAAAAATTTAAAATATTGTTTAAATCTATTTATTTTGTAGTTTAGTATGTGTAATTAAATGCTAAAGTTTTAATTTATGCCTCTAATATTCATTTTAATGTTCCTTTAATTTTTCTTTCAATGCGACTTGAAATAAACTGCCTTTTTTCTTTTTCATTTTTTAATTTTAGTTGATAAATATTCATCATTTCAGGACATTACCATTTAATTTTTAAGAGTTTTTTAATATTATTTTGCTTACTTAAAGTTATTTAAAAAATTAATCTTAAGTAATCTTTCAAAAAATGAAAGAACAAACATCATTTATAGAGCAAATTATCTTTTAAACCTCTGTGATTCCAGAATTTTTTATTTTATCAATTTAAAATTCCAGCTGGAGCAAGCCAGTCATTGGCAAATTGTTTTTATTCTGAAATGAGAACAGAAAAATCAGAAGTATTTATTTCATTTCGGATAAACAATAAAAGTATCTATAGAATACAATTCTGCAGAAAAAAAGAAAAAATTATTTGCATTTCTGTATTTTTCAGCTATTTTATTGCTTTAACTCTTTCATTACTCTGTTTTTTTAAATTTAAAATCTATAAATATGAAGATGCAAAGTATAACAGTTTTGGTTTTATCTATCATTTCAATTAATGTTATTATAATGCTTTTTTAAATTTATTGTTTTTTTTTTCGGAGAAAATAGTAATTTCCTTAAGTCATAAAAAATTCTTGGAATTTGTCACGGAAAGCCATGAATTGAAAATCTAAAATGTCGCAAATACCCTGTGTAAATAAAAAAAAATTGTAAGTGTTTTAAATTAAAATTATATTGTCTGTTTCTATTCCTTCTTTTAAAGCAGGTTTACTGGATATAAATATTATGACTTCTATTGTTTTTTTTTAATTCAGTTTACTCTACTGTTTATTATGAATAATCTTAAATAGATGAATTATTGTATATCCTGTGATTAAAGTCAACCCAATTTTTGATTACAACATATCAAATTTCTGGTATGTCAGGTGTATAAATCAATCACTATGTAAACCAAATATGAAAATTTCTAAAATTAGAAAATAAATAAATAAAATTGTTAAATCTCTCTGAATATGATATGTATCCCCTTAACTAAAGATGATGTTTGAGACCATCTCAAAAATATAAATTCAATTGTTATTGTGAAGTCTTTTTAAAAGTGTGGAAATACAAATTCTTTGGATGGGGGTAAAAATTATTTTCTGTAAGACTCAGCAGATGAAGTTTTAAATGTGAGATCCGAATAAAGACACTGTTAATGTCACTAAATCTGACAGATGATCTGAAATCTGTAAATTTGTAGCTTTATGGTATGTCTTAAAAGTTTCCATTGTATTATATTTTTTGAAATACATTAACTTTTCTTAATCTTAATTTTTCAGAACATATTTTAAGGAATTGTTTTTAAAACAAAACAATATATGTAAAGAAAATATGAGAGAAATTAGGTACACTTTGAGCAAATACTACTTACAGTAACACATTAAATTCAATAAAAACAATTAAAATTATTCAAAAAAAACAATATATTCTGCAAGCTAAACATATTATTTTCTCCACGTCTTAATTTTTTAGAAATTAATGTTGTACCAGAACATTAAAAAATAATAAAAAAAAATCTTTTAAAAAATATTTTTTTTTTCAAGATATGTTTTAAAAATGACATTTTGAATAAGATATTTTTTAATGCAGACACTCTTCTTGTATACAGCCTACACTTTATAAGAAAAAAGGAAAAAAACACAAACCTGGAAATTTTAAGATTTTTACCTGGAAAACCTGGAAAAGTCAGGGAAATTTGAACTCTGTTTTGAGTGGCCACCCTGTCAAATTTATGAAATATTTAATGTTAAAAAAAATACACATAAAGATTGCGAAATAAATATTTTTCTCATATGATTACCAAATAGCAACCTTCTTCAGGTTTGTTAACATCCTTTTCCCAAAAAATAGCAAAATAGTATCGTTGGAAAACCATGTGATGGAGGCGGAGCCAAGTGTCAACTCCTGTTGAATGAACTATACCAATGTATAAGTCGAACCCCCCTGATTTTTGTAAAATTTTTGGAATTTGAAAAGTTTACTTATGCACCAGGACATGCAATTGTAATGAATAGTTCTTTCCATTGAAATATTTTATTTTTAAAAAGTGAGTTTTGACAGTTTAAATTTAGAAATATTAGTGTGTTNGAGGCGGAGCCAAATGTCAACTCCTGTTGAATGAACTATACCAATGTATAAGTTGAACCCCCTGATTTTTGTAAAATTTTTGGAATTTGAAAAGTTTACTTATGCACCAGGACATGCAATAGTAATGAATAGTTCTTTCCATTGAAATATTTTATTTTTAAAAAGTGAGTTTTGACAGTTTAAATTTAGAAATATTAGTGAGTTTACTCTATATTTTCATATCAAAAGGCCAAAAATGTGTCTATGCATGTATCAGGTCTACTTTGATTTCATCAAGATAGGACTTTTTTTTTCCAGTGCTGTTGCTGAAATTTCTTTATTTTATTTTAATGTGTTTTTTGGTGAAAAATACTGAGGTTTGGTAAAATGCTTCACAAGTATTTTTCTTAAAGCAAAAATATGCAAATTTTTTTTTTAAAAAAAATATTGCTGACTTATCTATTTAACAATCATTCTAATTGTTGAAACTAATTAAACCTGTGATAATATTCAAAGAAAACTTTTTTAAAATTAAATAAACCTTTCTTTAAATGTATTTTTTTATAAATTATATATATAAAAAAAAGCTTTCTCTTAAAATTTATAACTTTTCGCATTTAAAAATAAAAGAATAATACATAAAAATTTTGTCAATCAAATTCATCTATGCTTTATTCATTTTGTTTGCTTTTTTCAAAAATGTCCTTTTTTCTTATTATAGCAAAATTATGATATAATTGTGAAGAAAAAGATGTTTCTATTCTAGTTAAAGCAAAATTAAATTTGCTGAATTCAGAAATTTATTTAAACCAAAATGAAAGGAAAGAATAAAAAAGTGTGACAACATGCTTTAAAACTTGAGAAAGTATTCCTTTCGGCCTATCTCTCTTTCTCAAAATAGAATTGTCATTGCTTGGTGGTTTTTGCATTTGAAACCAAGCAGTTTATGTCATGTCCTACACTATGGGGATTTGAAGATTGCTAATTTCCTAAAAAAACTATAAAATAAGAAGTATAAAATAAAATGTTTTGAAAAGTATAGGATTCATCCAAAAATTTTAAGTTCATCATCACTTAATATTATCTTATAGTGCTTTTTATCTTTCTTTTAAGGGATAATTATTACTTTAAACAACTTGCTAATTTTTAAACTATGTGCTGAATATAAATTTTCAACCTTCAGTCATTCTGATCTATATGTATATTTTCTTTATAATTTGTGTTAGCGCAATTCTTTCTTTCCTCTTTTCTTTTGTTCCTTAACTCTTTGTGCTATATTTGACTTTGTGTAGAAATTGAACCTGCAAAACAACAACAGCAACACCTCCTGAAGAACAAGTAAACTTTAGAGTTTGCTTAATTGAGCTTTAAATTTACATTTTTCCTGTTATTCCTTTTTGTGTTGTGTTTATGCAACTGCATGTAATTTTCATTTAAAATATGTAATGTGCATAGGAATTTTTTTCTAATAATAGTTTGACACATTTTATGTTTATGTAGTTCTAGTCTTTTTTAACATTACAGCTAAAATGAGTCAGTTAGTTGCTTTTTATCTTTATAACAGTAAAACCTGTTAAACGAGTTTTTCATGGGAAAGGAACAGCTTTTAAATGAGTAGACCAAAGTTATAATATCTTACCCATATTGCGTTAATAAAATTTAATGTACATATTACAGACTTAAACATCCATGAAGGAAATATGTACTTAAGTGTCTCTTCTAAAAGAAATCAAGTAGAATTTATTGTTTCTTCTTTTCCTAAGCAATATATTGTGGAAAACTGTGGAAAGTTTTTANAAAATTAAATTTGCAGAATTCAGAAATTTATTTAAACCAAAATGAAAGGAAAGAATAAAGAAGTGTGACAACATGCTTTAAAACTTGAGAAAGTATTCCTTTCGGCCTATCTCTCTTTCTCAAAATAGAATTGTCATTGCTTGGTGGTTTTTGCATTTGAAACCAAGCAGTTTATGTCATGTCCTACACTATGGGGATTTGAAGATTGCTAATTTGCTAAAAAACTATAAAATAAGTATAATATAAAATGTTTTGAAAAGTATAGGATTCATCCAAAAAATTTAAGTTCATCACTTAATATAATCTTATAGTGCTTTTTATCTTTCTTTTAAGGGATAATTTTTACTTTAAACTACTTGCTAATTTTTAAACTACGTCCTGAATATAAATTTTCAACCTTCAGTCATTTCTGATCTACATGTATATTTTCTTTATAATTTGTGTTAGCACAATTCTTTCTTTCCTTTTTTCTTTTGTTCCTTTACTCATTGTGCTATATTTGACTTTGTGTAGAAATTGAAGCTGCAAAACAACAGCAGCAACACCTCCTGAAGAACAAGTAAATTTTAGAGTTTGCTAATTGAGCTTTAAATTTACATTTTTCCTGTTATTCCTTTTTGTGTCATGTTTATGTAACTGCATGTAATTTTCATTTAAAATATGTAATGTGCATAGGAATTTTTTCTAATAATAATTTGACACATTTTATGCTTACGTAGTTCTTGTTCTAGTCTTTTTTAACATTACAGCTAAAATGAGTCAGTTAGTTGCTTTTTATCTTTATAACAGTAAAACCTGTTAAACAAGTTTTTCATGGGAAGGGAACAGCTTTTAAATGAATAGACCAAAGTTATAATATCTTACCCATATTGGGTTAATAAAATTTAAAGTACATATTACAGACTTAAACATCCATGAAGGAAATATGTACTTAAGTGTCTCTTCTAAAAGAAATCAAGTAGAATTTATTGTTTCTTCTTTTCCTAAGCAATATATTGTGGAAAACTGTCCAAGTTTTTAGCATCTTTCTAAACCTTTTATAACATCAAATGAACTAAGAATTTCTGTAACTTTTCCTTTCTACTTATTTCTTCACGTTCTGCTCATACGATACCCCCGCTTACTTGACGAACTATTCTGATAGCTTATTCTCTCTACACTTTTCATAACACATGTTTTCCTGAATTAAGTGTGAAGGTCAATGAAAAAAGTGACCGCACATTTAAGGCCACCTAAAACTTTTTCTCCCAGAATCCATAGATTTTTGCCATGCTGAATTTCATTTCTGAAAACTTAAGTCTATTTTCTTTGATTGATTTTCCATGCTTTGAAAAGAAAATTGCCATCTTCTTAACAGTTGAAAACAAAAGTTTTTGAAAGTATTAATTTAGCATTGTGGAAATAGAAGTCTAAGTGGTAATGTAAAGCTTTTTAAAAGGAAATTTCTTTAACAGATTTCAATTTATGTATATAGATATGTATAGGGCACAAAATTAGTGATGACTTAAATATGACTTGGGCCACTATAAAATAAATAGTTAGTGTTTTTAAACTGGCAATCAATATTCATTGTTTCAGTATTATTTCTGTTCTTTTAGTAATTAATCCTTTGGACTAGTGACTAAATCTTCTTAATTTCTACCCCTATATACATTAATTTTCTAATAACATGAATTTGTTGTTCACTTTTTTTATTCAATCAGGAAAATATTTTCTATACATATTTTTGTGATTAATTAAGAGGACATCAATATTTTAACTAAATATCACAGATTTTATTATTCCGTAAATAATTTGCTTTTAAACTTCTTTTTTCTCTTTCTCATTTCTTCAGATTTCTTGAATAGGAGTTAACTTAGTAATTTTTTTTTTTCTTACATTTTTTTATTTTTGTCAGACGTCATTTGCAATACTGTATCAGCACTTATTTTGAGTTTGTTATGTCATTTACCTTTGGTATAGTAAAGCCAATTTAATCTCCTTTATCGTCAAACTCTACAGTCAATTAAATGTTCATTTTTTTGCACTTCTTAAAATTTTTTAAATATATTTTTTAAATTTTAAAATGTTGCAGTATTTTTTTAACCAATTAACTGCTGACAGCCCCTTTACTTTCATGCAAGGAATGCAGGTTTTCTCTTATATTACTTAATGTAAATATAAAGAGAATCAGTTGAAGGATTAGTTGTATAGCAGCTAATCAGTTTCGAAATTAAATCATATTTAACATCTGGTTTAATATAAAACCCCTTAGTGTCATTTAACAGGGAGTTTGAAATGGCTTAAAAATTTGAAGGGTTGATTTTTTACAAAGAGGAGTGTAGTTTTCTAATAATTGGTCTGAATTCTTACTTTTAGCTTGCCATTTTTATCTAACCTTATTCCTGAAAACAGCAAACCACAGTGTAAAAGTGGGTACCATGAAAATTTATGCTAAATGAATGTCTTCATTTTTTTTATTTTTTTTTTATTCTGTGGATCAGTGAGAGAGGAGAAAAAAGGATCTTTTACTTATATTTGAAACTGGGTCCCCATATGTAAGTTCGACTACTTATATTAAGTCTGATGGTTCCTGTCTTTTAGGTTTTTTAAGAAGTCAGAACAAAGTTTATGGCACATTTTTTTCCATGGTAATAATGACTCAAATGTTAATTCGATTTATTGAGAAACATTCTTTTGTTTGTGACAAGTATGCAAGCTTAGCATTCTTTGATGAATGTACAGAGAAAATAGACTCCTTTGCTAGTGACATGAAGTTTTTAGAAATTGACGAATCTCAGGTGAGCGATAGAACTGTGTTTGTTGCACCTCCTGAGCCTATTGGCCTACCTCCTGGCCTAGAGTACAGATACAAACAATTTGGTGCTCTGAAACCTCAACTGTTTCATAAAAGTCCAATGAAATCTGTCTTAAAGCTAATTGCTCAAGCAAGCAATGGCACGGCGATGCAAACAAGAAATCAGAAGTGTAGAAATTCTCTTTCTCCTACATTACTTAAAGTGTAGAAAAAGTGAGTTCAGACAAACATAGAGTAAGCCTTAAATATTCAATTACTGAGCAGAAAAATTTAAAATATGCAAATAAAATAAGTTATGAGCTGATAACTTAGGATTATGCAACGGAAAAGTTCTCTTCTAATAATTTGTTTGCATTGTAATATTTTGAGCATTCGGTATGGTATCCTCATAATGAAATATAAACTTTAGGTTTGCCTGAACTTTTTATTTCGCTTAAATTTTAAATAATTACTGAAGCAGAAAAGTAATTTGCAATGAACATTTTCTTCTGCGGTATGGCATCCTCATAATGAAATATTACATTTAAATAAAAATAATTTAGATCAATTTTTTTTTCTGCATATTTTCTATTTTTAATGATCAAAAGCAGAAGAATCAAGGAGTTTATAACAAATATTTGAAAATGGTTAACCGAGGGATCGTCCAGAAATAACTTTGTTAAAAAAATAGTAATTAGTGTTAGTTTACATTCAAAATTATTAAAACATTTCTTTAATTAAGAACAGTTTGTTTTGATTAAGAATTAATAAACCGAAGTACAATTTTTAATAGTTCAAGAGGTTTCCCACAGTCTTTAAAAATACTTAGTAAAGTAAAGTAGTTAGTTTAAAAATACTTACTAAAAATAATCAATGTATATAATCTTTTATGTGTTGATGAGAAAAATTTATTAGCATCTGCAGTTTATTTTTCATCTTTATTTTATTTTTAGAAAGCAAACAAGCAAATGGGAGAAATCTATGAGAGACTCTTTTATAAAACATCTCTAAATCAGTTTCTAATAAATATTATAAAATCTCTCAATTCATAAAATTGAGAGAATCTTGCAAACAAACAAAAAATTAACGAATTTGTTTTCAGTTCCTTGATTACCTGTGCAGGGATTTATTCCATGTTTTAAATATCATTGTATAAAATTCAATTTTGTGACGAATATATTAATTTTGGAGTTTAAAACTTTATTCTTTTCCTGATAAAAGCGTTTATCAGAAAGATGACTACAGTAGTGACTATAAACCACTTTTGAAATGGAGTGACTACTTTTAGGGGACAAGCTTTGTTGGAGAACTTAGATAACACCTGTGTTTAAAATTATTTTGATTAAAAAATTGACTTATTTTAGCAAGAGAAATTATTTTATATGAGCCAGTTTCATACAAAACATTTTTTACTCATTTGTTCTTTTTCCCATTCTTTAATTTTTTTATGTCTTTCTTGACAGCAAATATTCAATTTGAAAGTCTATAAAATATTAGCGATTTTATTAAGC